GTTACCATGTTGACCGTCATGGTCAAGTTGCCCTAAAACAGTTGAGATTATCTGTCCTAAATGAAATGCATACAAACTCATATACAGGTCCTACACTATAGTAAAGTCCATATAATAAACAGAACATTAAACGGTTGCGAGAAGATATGGATTTATGTTCTCGTGTCAAGAACGATATCTCACTTGTTCGCTGCGCTCACTCGTGAGATATTGTTTTTGCCACTCGTACATAAAATCCATATCTCATCGCAACCGTCTAATATCCTCTATATATGTGGCTTTTGTATCTTCTGGAAATTACATGACTGCATGTTAATATGTCAATTAGTATTTTATAATATTTAAATTTTAGGAATTAATTCTAACTTATAATGATGCATATTATTATATGGCAAGCATTTGTTTTGCTCAACAATTTGAAAAAAAATTACCTCGAATTGCTCGCAAGTTTGCTGTTTTGAAGAATTGAAAACGCTTTAATTAAAAATTAGTTTGATGGTTTTCCTCGGCTTTGGCGTAGTGTTGTTTTCCATAGTTGACTCAAAAAGGTCGAATATTTTCTTCGCTCTAACCAGAAAAAGCCGCTTTAGAGGGGATTAATACGGTTTCAGTTTTTCCGTGTAAGCCGCCAGCTCTCATTTTTGGTGTTGACATGACCTTATTTGGTAAAATTACGCCATTGTCAAATAATAATTTACCGTACAGCCCTCCCCCTCGGTTTGTAAGTTATTAATTTTGGCAATTTATTTGAGTTTTTCCGTGCGCATTGGAAGCCGTTAAAACTTCATTTCAAAACGAAAAAGGCAATTTTTGTGCACAATAATGCAGTACCAGAATGTTCAGGTGTTTACACTCACCTGAAAATGACGACATACGTGCTATGGTGCAATAGACAAGAATACAAACCAGACAGTACTAAAATGCGGTGCCCGCCTACAAATTTAGCACGCTACATTCTCCTGTCGGCCGCCAGTTGGTCCGTACGTTAGGGTCAAAACTGCGTTTTAAAGCCTCAAAATAAAATATTTTGGGCTCACAATACTATCAAAATGAGAAGAAAAGTGAGACGAATCCACTGGCATACGGCCGAAGACGAGAAAACCAACATTTCCGAAGTTATCAAGGATCAAACGGACTGCATTTGTAATTAGTTTAATAATTTTGAGCGATTTGTCAACAATACAATTTCGCTTATTAAAACTGTACATAAAACCTTCAAAATATAATATTTTGGGCTCAAACTACTAACAAAATAAAGAGAAAAGTGAGACGAACCCACTGGTATACGGCCGATAAAGAGAAAACCAACAATACGAAAGTTATCAATTGGTCAAATGTATTGCATTTTTAATTAGTTTAATAATGTTCAGCGATTTGTGAACAATACAATTTCGCTTGTCTTTCAAAGGCCATAAATCGCTAGAATACTGTTGTTTAGTAATACATTCGACATCTGTAAGTATAACTTCTTACGCTGAATCGAACGGTGGTACTTTTGTCCTTATTGGGCGCATAAAACCAGAGATAAGGCGCAGAAAAAAGTCAATCGTGAGAGTCCGAGATTAATTCGAAAGAAAACTTTCCTCGAAAAAAGGAATTCGGAAAACGTGAAGGATTATTTTGGACGGCTTATCTTTCAAAGGCCACAAATCGCTAGAATTGAAGTCAATTTTGAAATTAATTTTCCGTCCGTAAATACAAGTTTTCACGCTGATTCGAACAGTGGTATTTTTGTTCTTGTTTGACGCATAAAACCAGAGATAAAGCCTAGCAAACAGTCGATCATGAAAGTACACGATTAATAATAATTAATAAATTCCGAGCACGTGCAAGGAATTTTTACTAGGCGATTAAGGAAACGTATATTGAGGCGAACAAACAAACAAACGGACAAACTCACAGGCAGAATATAATGCGGTGCCAAAAATGGCACGGGCACCGCAATTAATTTTCCCGCAAAAATGAATAAATTTCGAGCACGTGCAAGGAATTTTTACTAGGTGATTAAGGAAACATACATTCTCGTACTCAGAGCCCTTCTTACGCGCGATGCGACGAGGGGCTCTGGCCAAATCCATAACCGGATACCATAAAAACATGGTAAGAAAACAATGTCCGGTGTTAGAACTAGCCAATCAGATGCCAGTTCGGAATATGGATTTGGCCAGAACCCCTCGTCGCACCGCGCGTAAGAATGGCTCTGGGTACGAGAATGGGAAACGTATTGATGCGAACAAACGGACAAACAAACCCACAGGCAGAATATAATGCGGTGCCCAAGTGGATCCTGAGAGTACAAGATTAACCAGACACAGTACTAAAATGCGTGCCCGCCTACAAATAAAACTTTCGGCATTTCCGCCTACATGCACAAGTAAAGTAAAGTTACATTTAGCACGCTACATTCTCCTGTCGGCCGCCAGTCGGTCCGTACATTAGGATCAAAACTGCGTTTTAAAGCCTTCGGAATAAAATATTTGGGGCTCAAAATACTATCAAAATGAGGAGAAAAGTGAGACGAATCCACTGACGTACAGCCAAAAAACGAGAAAACCAACAATTCCGAAGTTATCAAGGATCAAACGGACTGCATTTTAATTAGTTTAATAATTTTGAGCGATTTGTCACCAATACAATTTCGCTTATTAAAACTGCGCATTAAAACCTTCAAAATATAATATTTTGGGCTCAAACTACTAACAAAATAAACAGAAAAGTGAGACGAATCCACTGGTATACGGCCGAAAAAGAGAAAACCAACAATACGAAAGTTATCAAGGTCAAATGTATTGCATTTTTAATTAGTTTAATAATTTTGAGCGATGTGTGAACAATACAATTTCGCTTGTCTTTCAAAGGTCATAAATCGCTAGAATACTGTTGTTTAGTAATACATTTGTCATCTGTGAGTATAATTTCTTTCGCTGAATCGAACGATGGTACTTTTGTCCTTATTGGGCTCATAAAACCAGAGATAAGGCGCAGAAAAAAGTCAATCGTGAGAGTCCGAGATTAATTCGAAAGAAAACTTTCCTCGAAAAAAGGAATTCGGAAAACGTGAAGGATTATTTTGGACGGCTTATCTTTCAAAGGCCACAAATCGCTAGAATTGAAGTCAATTTTGAAATCAATTTTCCGTCCGTAAATACAAGTTTTCACGCTGATTCGAACAGTGGTATTTTTGTTCTTGTTTGACGCATAAAACCAGAGATAAAGCCTAGCAAACAGTCGATCATGAAAGTACACGATTAATAATAATTAATAAATTCCGAGCACGTGCAAGGAATTTTTACTAGGCGATTAAGGAAACGTATATTGAGGCGAACAAACGGACAAACTCACAGGCAGAATATAATGCGGTGCCAAAAATGGCACGGGCACCGCAATTAATTTTCCCGCAAAAATGAATAAATTTCGAGCACGTGCAAGGAATTTTTACTTGGTGATTAAGGAAACATACATTCTCGTACTCAGAGCCCTTCTTACGCGCGATGCGACGAGGGGCTCTGGCCAAATCCATAACCGGATACCATAAAAACATGGTAAGAAAACAATGTCCGGTGTTAGAACTAGCCAATCAGATGCCAGTTCGGAATATGGATTTGGCCAGAACCCCTCGTCGCACCGCGCGTAAGAATGGCTCTGGGTACGAGAATGGGAAACGTATTGATGCGAACAAACGGACAAACAAACCCACAGGCAGAATATAATGCGGTGCCCAAGTTTGGGCACCGCAATCGTAAACCGCAAGCAAGTTGTATGGATTTCTTTAAAAAATAAAAGACCTTTTCAGGAAACCTATGATGCGAATCCAAAACTAGGAGTTACTATCGCAAGGAAAGTGCTGCCTTTTTGGCACATGAACTGGATGCAAATGTTTATAATTCTAGACAATTCTCAAAAGGGAAGTTTACTTTTGACCCAATGGTGTCATTTCCACGTTTCATCATTGGCAGCATGTGTCAGAGATTGCGTAATATTCTATGACGTTTATTTTGTGAACACATGGAATACGAATGAGACGAGCGTAGAGTTTTCATATGGCAGCGTTTTTGTAATAAAGTTTGTGTTATTTATATTTTAATGAGTCTGAACCACGCATGAGTTAAGCCTTGAACCTTGGAGAAAGGAGTCCTTTGAGAGTTTAATCTAAATATTTTACATGGTCCTTCCGAGCCGGATATTACAAAATAATACGTGAGTTTATACATCTGAATTTGAGCCGCCATATTGAAAAGATTCTGATACATAAATCCTGAACAATGGCCGAAAAAGAAGAGTTGACTCGAAAGAAAAGATGTCGAAACGGACATAGAACCTCAGCGAAACGAATTATGGCGTCTATAGGCGAAACTCTTATGAGTGTGGCGGAGAAATCGCAGTTAACTCCGCATATTGCGAAGTTAAAACAACAAAAGTCAACACTCGAAGCGAAGTTGAAATCACTCCGATAGCAAGATGAAGCTATTTTGGCGCTGGTAAGTGTAGAGGACATAGAGTTAGAGATTGAGCAAGGGGATATTTCACGAGAGAAAATCGAGTCTGTTATTATTGAAGTACAAATGGCTTTAGATGAATATGAGAAATCAAGTACTACACAATTGAATACTGAAAACAAGGTCATAACCCCAGTTACCCCTACGCAACCCACTACATCCATAACAGGGAATAATTCAGAAACTGCCAGTAACCATGGTGACAACAGTATACAAGCTGACCCTTCAAATTTCATGAATAATTACACCAAAATACCCACAGTAAAGTTGCCAAAGTTAAATCTTAGGGCATTTCGGGGAGATCCCACATCTTGGGCGACATTCTGGGATACTTTTGAGTCGTCAATTCACAACAATCCCACACTATCAAGTATTGATAAATTTAATTACCTCTCGTCACTTGTGGAAGGAACAGCAGCAGATGCAATTGCAGGATTAACCTTAACCACTCTAAATTATGAAGAAGCCATCAAGATATTGAAGAAGCGGTTTGGTAACAAACAGCTTGCAATCAATAAACACATGGATATTCTGTTAAATCTAGAGCCAGTTACTTCTCCACATAACTTAAAGGGACTGAGAACACTTTATGACACTGTAGAATCTCATATCAGAGCTTTGAAATCACTTGGGGTACAGGCAGAAACATATGGCAATCTATTATGCTCAATGTTACTCAATAAGTTACCTCAGGAATTGTGCATAATAGTGAGTCGAGAAGTACAAGGAGATGTTTGGGAATTGGGACACTTGCTTGAGTTGATTGAGAAGGAGCTAGAGGCCCGAGAAAGAGCAACTGCAAATACCAACAGGGAGACTTGGCCCCATTACCAAACAAAGAAATTTTCCAAACCACAACCCTCAATTTCAACCTTGCAGACAGGGGGTACATCACCGACATGCACCTACTGTCAGCAGTCACATACCTCAAATAGTTGCACCAATGTCTTTAACATCACAGCACGAATTGACATTATAAAGCGAAGTGGACGGTGTTTTCTCTGCTTGAGAAAAAATCATTTAAGTCGTGATTGCAACTCTAAGTCAAGATGTCATAAATGCAATGGTAAACACCACATAAGTATATGCACCAAGAATAGCAGTCATAACCATGCCCAGAAGACCCCATCCGATACAGAGCTTAAGCAAGAACAGCATGAACAAACCTCTGAGAGCAAAATCTCAAGCGACAAACCCAGTAGATCAAATCAATCAGGGAATAGTGGCACAAAATCATTGTTTACAAGTACCAAGACCCCAATACTTCTTCAAACTGCAAAGGCAACAATCCTTCCTGTGAGTAGAAATGGTAAGAGTGGGAACGTGAGAATTATCCTAGATGGCGGAAGCCAGAGGTCCTACATCACCAGTCGGACACAAGATTTACTAAGCCTACCCACTGAGCGAACTGAAACAATGTCAATAAAAACTTTCGGTTCTGGAGAAGAAAATCTAACCACCTGTGATTCAGTCAATTTTATTCTAGAAAGTCACACTGATAAGGTACAGTTGTCCTTGTCAGCCTTTGTTGTACCTACCATATGTGAACCACTGCAATACCAACTTGTCTCACAATCCCGCCACAACTACCCTCACTTACATGACCTAGTATTAGCTGATGATTCAATGGGAGAACTTGACTCGGAAGTGGACATACTTATCGGTTGTGATCAGTATTGGGACATAGTGACAGGAGAGATTCGAAAGGGAACAAATGGTCCGACAGCTATCAACACCAACCTTGGATGGGTCCTGTCCGGACCAGTCGAGAACCATTCACAACAGAGATTGGAAGCATCTGTAAACATGTCATCCA